TGGCAGTTGGAAAGAGGGAAGAGAACTTGATGAGAAGAACTGAAATGAGGATGTTGAGATGGATTCTGCAGATTTCAATGAAGGATAATATCAGAAATGAAGAAATCCGTAGACGATGTGGGGTGGTGGATGTGGTTGAGAAACTGCAGGGTCTAGTGTCTTAGCATGGGCACATCTTTTCCACATTGGCTATGAAGATGGCTGGACTCGTAGAGCCCCTTGCAGTTCAGTTGCCAGGCAGTGTGAATGGGAGATATAGCCAGTTCCTGTAGGGACGCTTGTCCCTCAGGGTTTCATGGGGAAAGCTGTGACAGAAGTCCAGTTCCAAGATAGACAGACTTCTGTACTTCTGTACACAAGAAGTGGCTTAGAGGTTGTCCTATCATCTGAGCTGCAAACATTCCCCTACTAAGAATTGTTATGACCTCCTAATTAACTGTACAGGGACGGTTAATCACGAAGTTTATTTTACTAGTAAAGTACAGGACCGCTGTATTAAAAAAAATATCCCATAAACAATTCATCAGGTGTTCCATTTTAACAGAAAGATTATCGTCTCGGTTTCATACTGATTATCATGGGTTTTTGGGTCTAATTATTTTAGCTTTGACGGTTACCCGTGGTAGGTTATTCCCAGGTGTTCAAGTTCACACTCCAAAAATGTACACCTCTACATGTATTCTAGCCTCATCGGTCCTTTCAGACACTCCTGGAAACTGATCACGCAGCCTTAGTTAAATCTGCGGTATTGTAGTACTTGCAAGCTATACGGGTTCATCAAGAACAATTTTAATTTTTGCTCAGAATAAAAGCCCTGTGACTTCAGAGGGTGAAAACTGAGCCATTTATTAGGAACACGAGTTGTAGCAGCAGTCCACACACTTACTCACCACACAGCAGCCTAACTAAGTTAAAATACTAAAAACTCTGCGCCACACAAAAAGTGTGGTTAAGATTGAGACAGGGAAGCATTTCACTGGGAGACTGATCGACTTCAATTATGCTGCCATAGCTACAGCCTGCTCTTTGGCAGCTCTGTCCCCATCCCCTCTGCTTCTCTCGTCCCCTCTCCTCTCTCCTCTCTCCTCTCTCGTCATCTCCTCCCCTCTCCTCCTCTCATCCCCTCTCCTCCTCTTCTCCCTCTCCCTCTCCTCCCCTCTTCTTCTCTTGTCTCCTTTCCTCCTCTTCTCCCCTCTCCCCTTTCACCTCTATCCACCTCTCCTCTCTACTCCTCTCCTCCTCTCTCCCCTTTCTCCTCTCCTCCCCTCTTCCCTTTCTCCTCCTCTCTCGTCCCCTCTCCTCCTCTCTCCTCATCTCCATGCTCTTCCTCTTATCCCTCTCCTCCTCTCCTCCTCTTCTCCTTTCTTCCTCTCCTCCCCTCTCCCCTTTCACCTCTCTCCTCCTCTCCTCCCCTCTCCCCTTCTCCTCTCCTCCCCTCTACCCTTTCTCCTCCTCTCCTCCCCTCTGTCTCTCTCGTCCCTTCTCCTCCTCCCCTCCCCTCTGCCTCTCTCGTCCTCTCTCCTCCCTGTCCTTCCTCCTCCTCTCCCAGGCTGTCATCTGCCAGTCTCCTTGTGCAGACTGTTGCACATAAATAGTTAAATCAGTCACTGTCCATTACCATCAACACGTGTTTGAAAATATGTACAACACAATTAAAACCACCTTAAAACAATTAGAACATGTAGAGGATCATTCTTCACTAAAAGAATGGAAGTGCTGACAAAAACAAAATTATCCTGGATTTGTTTCTTTGTGGCTCACACACACACTGTGCCCAACTCTAACCCCGAAAAAGGGAACTGCAAGGCTATTTTTACATTTAGTTGTTGTAAAGAATCGTCATTCATATTACGTACATATTAGTAAAAAAATCAATACATGCCCTATCTCAAATTAACTATATACAATGTTATGAAACAGACGCATACAAGGCAACATGTTTTTTAGATATTTTTTCTAGACTGCTGAATTGAATGAGTGCAATAGAATTTAATTCATCTTATCAACTTCAAGACAATTTTGCCAACAACAACTATATACTTGTTAACTCATACAGATCATGTTGGAACATTTCTGCGATAAAATGCCTGCTACACAACCTGTACTTATTGGCTTGTACATTGCACTGAATCTCATTGAGATATTTGTCGATAGGCCTAACATCAGGGTCCATGTTTATTACCTATCTCTTGGCTAGTCGAATTTCCATTGGAAAAGGAAACAGTTTTACTTTCTGCTGATCTGATCCTCTGTTTTGTGTGTGATGACGATGTCCTACACAGCCAAATGCTCAATAGTGGGGCATCATCTAAATATATATGCGAGTTGAGAAAGACAAAAAAGGATTAATGTTGTTTGCCGTCCAAGTTTCTCTTTTTGCTTACAGTGACTAGTGAGCAGGAAGGGACAACCTTACGTCTCAGTTCGAATGAACTCTCATTCTCACCCATGGCGAGACCAGAGGTTTGCAACAACATGGCGACTATACAGTACTTTCACAAAGTTCACAATTTTGTGCTTCAGTTTTTTCACAATTATGTGCTGTCAATTTATTTTGTTACTGACATTTAATAACTGGTCTGAAAAATCGGGATCACAGTTCTCCTTTAGTAACAAATAGGCTACACTGTACGTGTTTAAATTGTAGTTTTGTATATACAGTACAGGTAATAGTGTAATTCAGTGCAGCATTTGTCAGAATTTCTCAAAAAGTTAGTATGATAAAGGGAAATTGGGTACGTAATTTCCATGATCTGAAAACTACCCCTAGTTATATTTATGCTATTAGTGTGCAAAATTGGTTTCCATTGACCTCTGAACTGCCTCAGATCTCACTTTTAAAGCACATCCACACGATTTAGCTTTCAGTTCCAAGTATCAAGAAGTAGCCAGTGCTTTAGAACTGGAACACAATTCATCTCCTTCCTGTCTTACACAAAAAAAAAAATGACTGGAGCTGAAAATACACAAGCTGGTTTTACAGGCTCTGTGCTGTACTTATTCTATCAAAGTTAAAACTATCTATTATACTATCTGGGACAAGTACACTGGGTGGCATTAATGTAAGAGAAGCCAACCTTTGATGTCACCTCCTAATGCTGCACTCTGCTCTTCTTCCACCACGCATTTATTTTCACCCCCAGTGATTAATGGCCAGCCCGCAACAAATAAAGTGTTAGCACATTTTGCAGTTCGGTCTAACCTTGGTTAGATAAAAACAAAACATATTGACGGTCTGTAAGAAATAGTTAAATATTAAAGTTAAATATAGAATGTAAGCATTCAGACATTTGTAAAAATTTTTTCTAATAAGTAGCCTCCTTTCATTATTGTTTAGAACAGTGTTGTTACTAGTTTCAAGAGATGACTCGTTAGAGTGGTTTTCTAACTCCACTTATTGAAGAAGAAACACATCTGGTTAAAAATAACCCTGAAGTGCCTGATCTAAATTTAGCTCACTTCAAGTCAAGTCCTGTGAGTGTGGCTGAAAGTGTTTGTTTGTCTTTGTTTTTGTTTGTTGTTCTACTAGGTTATTTTGTATTTTGCAAGTGTTGCATATTGTTACTTATTATTTTAGTCCTGCCTGCGTTATAAAATGATCTCAGATTAACAACCATTCAGATATAAAGTTCTATTACATGTTTGTTCGGAATTAATTATGGTTTATGTTTCTTGTTTCTTTCAAGCTGTGAAAATCAACCTGGAAAGACTGCAGTTAATTTTTCAAAATGTTCCGACTGGCAGTAGCACCCTTTTGGGTTCACTGCCCTCGAGTCAGAGCCTGTCTGTCAGGCAGCAGGAGCTACGCTGTGTCCGGCGGTGGAAATGAAAGGGCCGAGAACAAACTCACAGTGAACTCTCTGTACAGTTTGTCAGTAGATATTAGAAAAATCCGCAAGCTGAAAGGCTGGGTCCTTCTACAAGACATTGCCTACGTCGATGAAACTGCTTCTGTTTTAAAAGAGCTGGGCGCTGAAGCCACTCTAATAGCTACAGTGCTGGAACAGTGCCCAGAGGCTGTGCTGTGCACCCCAGCAGAAGTCCGGGCCCAGAGAGAGCTGTGGATGTCAGTGTGTCCCACAGAGAAGGAGCTGCTGAGGATCATAGAGAAGTTCCCCCACTCATTTTTCACTGCCAGTCAGCACATCAACCAGAAGGCAAACATACAGTTCTTCCAAAGATTAAAGATCAACAAGAGGACCATCATAAAACTGATGGCGAGTGCATCTCAGAGCTTCAGCAACCCAGTGGAGCAGAATGAGCAGATGATCAGCACTTTGCAGGACATGTATCGGAGCCTCGGAGGAAAGGAAGGCAATCTGCAAATTTGGTTACAGAAACTTTTGACCCAAAACCCATTTATTTTAATGAAGGCCCCTGAGACCTTAAAGGAGAACCTGAAGTTCCTTCAGAAAAAGGGATTTTCCAGTGAAGAACTCCTTTTGCTTTTGTCTAAACTAAGAGGATTTATTGCTGAGCTTTCTCCTTGCAGAATGGAAGAGACCCTGACATGCTCCAAGGCAGTGCTGCGCTGCACCGAGTGGGAGCTGAAAGAGATTGTCTTAAAATGCCCAGCTCTCCTCTACTACTCTGTCCCGGTTCTGTCTGATCGCTTACAAGGTCTTTTAAGCAGAGGCATCAGTGTGGACCAAATAAAAGAATCTCCATCAGTATTAGAGTTGACTACACAGATAGTACAGTATCGTATTCAGAAACTCAGTGCATCAGGTTATGATATAAAAAAGGGCAGCCTTGAGCCTCTTAATGGGACAAACAAAGATTTTGAGCTAAGTTACGAGAAGTTACACCTGCGAAAGCAGCGGCCACTTTTTAATCCAGTTGCTCCCTTGACAATAGAGGAATAATTACAGTAGTGTTGGGTGGTGAATTTGACAAAATCCTTGACATTTTATTCAAAGACATACATGTATTCATTGTTTTATTTAAAATTTGATTAGGCTATAAAACACTGAAACAGTATGTTAAAGATTCAGTTAAATGCTACATTTTATATACCTTATATCCACCCAGGGTGTGAAGGACATAGGACACACTATGGTCTCAAGCAAGGAGAAGATATGTGGCCATCACATTCTTTTCCAAGTCTTGATCATGGTACAATGCTGACACAAGCACAAAAGTCATTTATATTATAGATATTGTAGATTATAGATTTATATTTATTATTATAGATAATACAGTACTGTAGTCTGTGGTGAACTGCCATCTCATCCGATGTGTAGTCCAGCCCTGCATCCTGTGCCTGCTGGTTCAGGCACCAGAGGATGGATAATACCTGTAATAGGAGTTTATTGCAGATACTTAGCTGTATGCTATCGTCTCTGGAAAACAATATCGTATTGTTTTTTTCAGATTTAGACACTGCCCTTTCTAGTTCTGGTACTGCTACTGATGATAGCAATCATGATAATAACGTTTGAGGGTTGAACATTTCCTATTCTTTCCCTTGGGGCTCAAGTCTGATTCACCAGTCGGTCCTAGTCGGCTCTGCAGGGTGTCTGCAACAAAGCAGATAATTCCATCAAAATTCCTTCTTGTCAGTGATGGGGAGATGCACCATAAAGAGGGCAGGTTTCTCTGGGACAGGTTGACATGGGGATGGCCTCTTGGTTTTAGATCTGGACTGTGTAAATCTTTACTTGTTGTTCAGATCAAAACCTTTACTGCATAATGCCTTGTGAAATAATCATTTACAAGGATTTCTCAGTGCTTGAGCAGAACTTTTCACCTTTAAATCTCTGATTTGGTAACACAGAGGAAATAGGAAGATTGGGCACCAATCTTTTTTCTAAGAAAGACTATAATTTACTTACAGTATCTCAGTGAAAGCCTAAGAAAACTTTTTTTTAAATAATGAAACAGGTTTTTCACAATTTTATTGAAAACATCCTTATCAAGAAAATGTTATCACATTTCTGTTATCACAGAGCTCTCTAGATGCCTTCTGTATATTTTTACAGGGTAATGATATATTAAAAAGAATGCATGTCTACAAATTGTGTTTTTGTCTATAAATTGCAGAGGACCTATTCTAAGAATAGTAGCCTTCTGCAGTACTGTTTGCACACAGCATTGTGCTTAACATAAAGGCAGCAAATCCAATACAAATGTTTATGTTCTCCATATACTGCCTTTTTTCTTTACACACCATACAGTATGACAGATCTGTTCATGTAATTAAGCTCTGTACCATAACCATGGCATAATGGTTGTGTATTTATTAATCAGATCACAAAAAACGTGAGTATCAGAGACAACGGTGATGAACTCTGTAGGAAGGTTGTAGTATGTTTTGAAAAACAAAATGTCAGAAAGTTGACTTACCACATTTAAGCGCTTTTTCAGACAGGAAGGAAGTAGCAATGCTAATGAAAATGTACCCTGATGCCTCCAGCTTCACTTTTTAGTAATATGTCAGAATCATCGAGCAAATTTAAGTGGTGTTTTATGAAAAGTCACTCAGGGGGGATGCTAATAATGTCCCCATCTCCTTCCCGCAAGCGTTGGATTCACTTTGTGAATATATAAGCATCTTCTTCTCAGACTCTGGGATTCACCTGGTGTCCGAGAGGTGGCGAGGTCCTGTGCTGTCAGACCTGTGTGACAAACTTTCTGAGCCTGCATGAATACATTATGAGGTCTCCAGACTTCCTTCCCCCTTCCCTTGTAGTTTGTTCCTGCAGTTGACTCTGGGAGATGAGCGATGCATGAGCCACTGTCAGCGGTACTAAATCAGTAGCATCCCTGGAGACCGCAGCCTTCCTTTTGGATTGAGTGACAGAGCTAATAGGTCCCCGTTTCTGCCAACAGTTCCAAGGAGATAAAGGACAAGATAGCCAAGGCACGAGCAACTCTTCCTGTCAGGAACAGGTATTAATTAGCCCTATTTTCGGGGAAGAATATTAAACCTGATTGGAAGTACATTTCTGGAGCGTTAATTATGATTAGTAATGTCCCCTGTTTTACACTAATATATCCAATATATCGACCCTGTCTTCATACATGACTTCACTATTTTCTTTTTAGGGGACAAAAGCAGTCTTCTTCTCCTTGGGCACAAATTTTACGGTTAAGTGCATACAGTATGACAAAAAATATTGTTAAATCAGAAGTCAGAGCTGTGTTTCTGTGATTTCGGTCTTGGTGCTTTTAGCTTAAACTAAGAAAAAACATCCCAGCAAATTCTGACCTTGGGAACTTTTACATTTTCTTATTTTGAAGTGACTGTTGCATTTTATTAGGGGAATCTTAGGGAGTTTTCAGAAACACTGTTAATTGTCATTCAGCCGTACAGCAGTACAGAGGGTATTGAATACATACTGTGTGAATCTTTACAGAGTCAAACACTTTAGTAAATGTCAGGCAGAAGTACATCTGTTCAAAATTCATTTGGATTAATATGAAATAAGAGTTTCACATCAGAGAAAAAAAAACCTTTGTATAAATAACTTTGTGTCTCACTATAATATCTGCTCATATTATATGTAAATGGGTTTTGATAAAGGTATAAAATTAGTTTTTATTAAAAATTGTTACATATGTATCCAAATGTTTAAATTTCACATACGTATCCTATTATTCAAACGTTAAACTGGGCATCCCTGGGACAGAGTATTTTCACACCTTTCACCTTATCTCATCAGGCAGTTACCATGACCAACGATCTATTCTAGCAAACATGTTTGTCAGATCGTAAGCAAAATTAACACTTGTAGGAACTGTGGCTAAAACCCCCATGTATCGCATAAATTAATATGACTGCCACTGTATAGTGGATAAACTGGAAAGTTTGAGTCCGTATAAGGGCCTGCTATTGAGTGATGCAAAAACCATTATCCATATACAGTATCAACAGGCATAGAGTGGTTGTCATAGCATTGCCTAATGAGAATCCTTTTGATAAACCTATAATTAAGGACTATCGAGATGGAAAGCACATTAGGCTCTAGCCATGATAAGCTGCTTATTTCCTCATTCCAGGGTTTTTTAATTAGCAAGTCTGTTGTGATTGTGAGTATGTCTCAGGTAAGAGCAGAAATCCGTTACATTTTCCTGAGCCCTTTGCAAGTCCTCTCCTCTTAGTGGACACCTCTTTTTGTCTCTGTGTGAATATAATTATTTAGGACAATATTCTTCTTACAGAGAGGATAATGTTACAGTATTAGGGGGTCTCAGAATGGGTCAATTTCACATCAAAAGCACCCGTTTCTTTAACGTTATAAAAATAATCATCCTTGGAAAGTATTTGTGCAATTGTTTGTTAATCTTATTTTGTTGCTTAGGGCAGTCACAGTGGCCAAAGATCCAGGTGGCCAAACAATTGTGTTAATGTTTTAATTCACTGTAAACCAATTACATTGTACCATTAAATTATTCTTCTTAAAGGATAAATAGAGAAGCCAGCAATACGGTATAGAAGCATCTGGATTGGTAAAGAATTCCTCCTTCAGACTACAGATAGACACAGGTAATTTGGGTGCTAAGGAGTCTAACAATAGGCTATAAGTGAGGAACCTGCTGTCTAGACCATTGTCTAAATAGTTATTTCTGATTTGTGATATCTTCCAGGGAGTGACTGGTTAGTAATGCAGTGGTAGCTCATTCTTGGAAGAAACTGTAAAGCAGCCAACCTGACACTACAGACCATTAAAGGTCTTTATTATAAATAGATCAGATGCTAATTAGTTAATGAATTTGTTTTTTGAAGGTGGTTAATTCCACATTCTCACTTGGGGTTAATTGGTGGGTATGTAAATATTTTCATGATGTTAGTGGTGTTTGGGTTTTGATAGTAGTCTGGGGAGGCTGCTACAGAGTCCTTTTGTTGTAAAACCTTTAAAATCTCTACAATAATGCATCCTTCACGAATGGTCTTGTCATCGTGGTCCCGGTGCCCCACACACCTGCTGGTTTTCATTCCAGCCCACTTTCATTAGATAACTGACACCTTACTGAATGTAAAAAGTTGCTTCAATTGAAATTTTGCATTTTGTATCTAGTCACAAGTTAGGGATTTTATTTCACTTACAAAACACAACAGTTAAAGCGAAAGCT